TCCTCCCTCTCCTAATCCCAGTGCCATTCTCAACTAAGATCCATTTTTAATTAACTTTATACACAGAACAACTCTATACTAAGTAAAGAGTTCAACAATTTGCACAAGAAAAAAAGCTCCTTCAACAGTGGCGGCAAGGGCTGTTACAAGTCATTGCATCTCGAAGTTAATTTCACTTCTTTTTTTTTTGAGAAATTTAATTAACTTTTTAAAAAAATAATTGTTTGTTTTATTTGAAAGTCAGAGTTACACAGAGAGAGAAGGAGAGGCAGAGAGAGAGAGAGAGAAAGGTCTTCCATCTGGCCACAATGGCTAGAGCTTCACCCATTGAAGCCAGGAGCCAGGAGCTTCCTTTGGGTCTCCCACGTGGGTGCAGATCCTAAGGACTTGGGCCATCTTCTACTGTTTCCCAGGGCCAAAGCAGAGAGCAGCCAGGACTTGAACCAGCGCCCATCTGGGATGTCGGCACTGCAGGTGGCAGCTTTACACGCTATGCCACAGCGCTGGCCCAAAGACTTTATTAACTGTAAAGAAACACCCAAGAATGATACATCTTTTGTAAGCACTTAGCTATAACTTATGAGACATAAGAATATCCTCCATTTATTACATTAAAAATGATTCAGTTAGGTAAAATTATGTTTATGTATGTATATGAATTGTGAGGTTGCTAGAAGAAAATTATTTAGCAAAAATTTAGCAGTGGTGATCTATTGAGTGGTGAAATTTCAGATTTTACTTTTTTTCATGCCTTTTTATATAGTTTTGATTTTTCAAAAATATGTTACAAAAATTGTAATACATGTTTGTGTTACAATTTAATTCAGAAAAAAGCTATTCTTATTTGAAACCTACTTTACATTTTTCTTTACAATTTATCTATTTAATGCTTTGCATTTCATTGAAACCTCCTTAGTTTATATTCGTCAATTAGAAGGAAAAATAAAACTGCTTCGTTGTAGCTTTTTTTCTCTTCAAGAGTTATTTATTTGTTTGAAAGGCAGAGTTACAGAGAGGCAGAGGCTGAGAGAAGAGAGGCCTTCCATCCGCTGGTTCACTCCCCAAATGGCTGCAAAGGCCGGAGCTGTGCCGATCCGAAGCCAGGAACCAGGAGCTTCTTCCAGTTATCCCACGTGGGTGCAGGGGCCCAAGGACTTGGGCCATCCACAAATGCTTTTCCCAGGCTATAGCAAACAGCTGGATTGAAAGAGGAGCAGCTGGGTCTCGAACTGGCACCCATATGGATGCTGGCACCACAGGTGCAGCTTTACCCGTTGTGCCACAGTGCTGGTCCCTTGTTGTAGCTTGAAAAAAAAAAATTGGAATCAACCAAGGTGTCCATCATCAGATGAATTTATACAGAAAATGTGGTGTATGAATATTATTCAGCTATAAAAAAGAATCAAGTTTTACCATTTGCAGCAAAATGGATGCAACTGGAGAACATAATGTTGAATGAAATAAGCCAGACCCAGAAAGACAAATACTCCCTTATGTGTGGGAGCTAAAATTTAAAAAAACAAACAAAAAAAAGAAGATATGTCTGTGTAAATCAGTATTGCTGAAAAAATAGTTTTGTAAAACTTTGTTTTATACCTTTGTGAAACCAATGGTTAAGAATGTTAGGGGCCGGTAGGGAAGTGTCAGCATCCCACATGGGGCTGGTTTGAATCCCAGCTGCTTCCAATGCAGCTCTCAGCTATGGAAAGCGGTAGAAGATGGTCCAAGTCCTTGGGCTCCTGCACCTGCATGGGAGACCCTGAAGAAGCTCCTGGCTCCCAGCTTTAGATCAGCCCAGCTCTTGCTGTTGCAGTCATTTGGGAAGTGATCCAGCAGATGGAAGACCTCTCTCTCTCTCTCTCACTCTCTGCCTGTGCCTCTCTGTAACTTTGCCTTTCAAATAAATAAATAGATCTTTTAAAAAAGGAAAAGAAAGAATGTTATACTACTAAAGTTTTAGTGATCTATGATTACTTCATATGTTACTGTTTATGAGTGAAATGGTCATTTTTCCATTCAATTATTGTTTATAGCTGTAATCTATATTCCCACTAAACTATTGTCTTTTTGCTTTCCACTTGTTAAAATTCTTATTTGGGTGAAGTATTAAGCCTTTTTACTGTAAAATATGTTATCTCAAAAACTAAAAAAGAAGAGGAAAAGAAAGAAGGGGAGAGGGAGACGGGGAGGGAGGGAAGAAAGAATGGAATATCATTATGTTCTTAGAATTGTGCCTACAAAGCACATTGAATCTGTTAAAAACGAATTAAAAATTAAAATTAAAAAAATTTTAGGCCGGTGCCGCAGCTCAATAGGCTAATCCTCTGCCTACGGCGCCAGCACACCAAGTTCTAGTCCCGGTCAGGGCGCCGGATTCTGTCCCGGTTTCTCCTCTTCCAGTCCAGCTCTCTGCTGTGGCCCGGGAGTGCAGTGGGGGATGGCCCAAGTGCTTGGCCCCTTTACCAGCGTGGGAGACCAGGAGAAGCACCTGGCTCCTGGCTTCGGATCAGTGCGGTGTGCCAGCCGTAGCAGCCATTGGAGGGTGAACCAATGGCAAAGGAAGACCTTTCTCTCTGTCTCTCTCACTGTCTAACTCTGACTGTTAAAATTTTTTTTTTTTTTTTTAAAGAGAAAGCAGGTTCTTGTATACATTACTGCGACTCTGTTAGAACACAAGTTCTGATTCCAGCAGCCAGGGAGGGGTCTGAGATTTTGCATTTCTAATGAGCTGGTACTGTTTGGAAATTGAACTTGTGTTGAGATAACAAGGTTTTAGAAGATATCAAGAGATAAGGAATTAAGATAAAAACAAGTGAAGGTATGTTTTCCTCTGTCCTTGTGGATGGACCACAGTCTGCTCCCTGTTAACTCATTTACTCTTGCTAATCTAAGTCCGCAAATAATTGTCCAGCTGGGTTGGCTTTGCCTGTGATTTGATGGGAACACTTCTGCCTTTCACTCTCCTCCCCTCACTCCACCCACAAGGAGTGGGTCTCCTTCTTGTCACAGGGAGCTATGATAAAGCACACACCCACCTAACTGAGGCTGTGACATGATTCCCTGAGGCCCCTGGCCGCTGAGTAATAGGAAACCTGGTCTTTGGCAGTGGGAGGTGTTCCTTTTGGCATTCTGCCTCTGTCCAACTGGCTTGTGTAACATTTGGGCTCCAAGAATGGCTTCTAAGGCAATGCTGTATCCTACAATGTGTAATCAGGAACTGGAAGAAAGTTTATCTTTAGCTTTTAAGATTCCCGTTAGAAGTCCTCTGCTAGCCTTGGCAGAAGAGTGACCTGCTTATGACCTGCTGAAAGAGCCTGCCCGAGTGGGAAGCAGTGTCCTCTGTTCTGCTGCAGTGTTTGCCCTGGTGATGTTCTGTGGGTCTTTTGCTGGTGCCACTTGTACTCTTGGATCCTGCAGGTATTCTTGTAGACCGATGACAGAGAGCAGTTGTTATAGGCAGACTACTTCAGAGTCTTAGCAAGGAATGCTAAAAAGAGCTGTTTCCCTCCTCTTGCTGGGGAACTTTGCTGTGGAATTCCCCCTGCAGCCTGAATTGCAGCAGTGGCTTATAGATTCATGAGATCTGTCTCAAAACAAACTCAGAAGCCTTGAGGAGGGGGACCGAGGTTTTTCAGACTTCAGATTGCATCAGAATCACCTGAAGTGCTTGTTGAACTGCAGATTGCTGGGCCCTGTACCCTAGAGTTTCTGAGTCAGCAGATTTGGAGCAAGCCTCAGAATTTGTAGCATTTCCTTACTTTTTCCCATGCCTTGCAGCGCAAGTATCTAACAGTGACAGCCTGAGAGGTGGGCGCCTATTCACATAGGCACATGCACTTTTTTTTTTTCTTTAAAGATGTATCTGTTTATTGAAAGGAAGATCAGAGAGAGATTCTGTTTACTGGTTTACTCCCCAAATGGCCACAACAGCTGGGGCTAAGCCAGGAGCCAGGAGCTCCATCTAGATTTCCCATGTGAGTGGCAGGGGCCCAAGCACTTGGACCATCTTCTGCTGTTTTCCCAGATACATTAGCAAGGAGCTGAATCAGAAGTGGAGCAGCTAGGACTCAAACTGGTGTTCATATGGGATGCCATGTCACAGGCAGCGGCTTGACCCCCGAGCCACACTACTGGCCCTTGCACTGTTGACTTTAGTCACCGTCATTAATTCCCAACCTCAGAGGTGTATTTCTTTGTTTTGTTGTTGTCGTTACTGGTGCTTGAAACACTGAGGCCTAAGGAGGCAGCAGCTCTTCTAGAGGACCTGTGCAGCCACTACCCTTTGTAGTAAGCCAGCTCACTCCCTGTAAGGTGTCTTGGTTTGTAGCTGGAGTGGAGACATGATATTGCAGGGGAAGGACGTGTGGAAGAATAGAATAAAGGAAGCTGGGAAACTTGCTTCCCACCCACCTTCCTGTCACTAAAATGATATTAAATTGATACTAAAATTAAATTACAACATAAGACCAAGGGATGGCATTCTGGTACAGCAGGTTAAGCTGCCACCTGTGACACCGGTATCTCATATCAGAGTGTCAGTTCGAGTTCCCACTACTCTGTTTCTAATCCAGTTCTCTGTTGCTGTCCCTGAGAAAGCAGTAAAAGATGGCTCAAATTCCTGGCCCCCTCCCCTCCTACCCACATGAGAGATGCAGATGGAGTTCTGGGCTTCTGGCTTTGGCTTCTTCAGCCCTGGCCATTGTGGCCATCTGGAGAGTGAACCAGTAGATAGAAGATCTCTCTGTCTCTCCCTCTCTCTGTCACTCAGTCTTTGAAATAAATAAATCTTTTTTTTTTTTTTTTTACAAAAATAAATAAAACGTAAGCCCAAAACCACTTTGGGTTTTTGTCAGTGAGCAGGGAAAGGGTGGGGGGTGTTCAGATCATCGAGCTGTAGTCCTTAGCTGTCCTGTCCTTACATCGCAGGGGTAAAATGGCTGATCCTAGTTCTGCTGGCACTCCCCGTGATAAAGGTGACTAATGCATACTTTCTGTTGAAGCAGTTCTGGAGCAGCCCAGGAGGGTCAGAGTGATCTGGATCTTGGTCCTGGTGATCTTCCCTCCGACGAGGAGGAGGTCATCAACAGTTCTGATGAAGACGATGTCAGCTCTGGGTCTAGCAGAGGAGAGCCTGACCTGCTGGAGGATAAACAGGTATAATTTGGTACTTGTTTCTGTTTGGGTGTCGGTTGGCTCTCACTGTGCTTGTTAATGCTATTTATCAACACGATAAGCACAAAAAACCTGGGTTTCCTTAAGAACTGTACAACATTTTTCAAATTTAAATGCAATTCCTGTTGTGATATAGCACCTGGGGTGTTATCGGGTTCCTAAGTACGTATCATTTAGAGATTATTTAGTGATTTTTGGTAAGTTACTTTATGTTTACTGATGTTCACTGGATTTCTCTTTGATAATGAAAACCCCCTTAGGATTTTTCTTGTACCAGTTTTTCTTAGATTTCTTGAAAGAAATGAATTATATGCATTTCAGATTCAGTCAAATTCTTTTAGGGATGGAATAAAGTTGACTTTTACATTTGCTTTGCAATAATCCACTATCCATATGTTTGATTTTGTTTGTGTACATGAAGATAGTCCTCGTGTTAATAATTGTTAGACCTGTATGTTGGGGCTCATTCTAATGCCTTTCTGTTTTGGCATGAATGTCTAATTGTTTCATTCAGTTCTTTGAATCAAAACATTATGAAAGGGACAAAACTAGAATATCAATAACGTTATAGGATATGTCTGAATGTTATAGCAAGATGGAATCTGCAGGGAACCATACAACATATCTAGCCATGAGGGAAATCTATGTCAACTGATTCCTATGCCATCATTTATCAACCCATTGTACTTCCTTTTTTTCAATATTTTATTTATTTATTTGAGAGGCATACTTATAGACAGAGAGAGAGGTCTTCCGCCTGTTGGTTTGCTTTCCAAATGGCTGCAATGACCAGAGCTGTGCCGATCCAAAGCCAGGAGCCAGGAGTTTCTTCTGGGTCTCCCACATGCATGCATGGGCACAGGCACTTGGGCCATTTTCCACTGCTTTCCAGGCCATAAGCAGAGAGCTGGACCAGAAGAGGAGCAGCTGGAACATGAACTGGCTTCCCTATAGGATGCTGGCACCACAGATAGAAGCTTAGCCTACCACGGCACAGTGCTGGTCCCTGTACTTCCTCTCTTACATATTTTTGCTGTTTGAATTCATTTTCAACCTAAAAATGAATGACTCAAGTACAATTGTCTGAATTTAAGTCCTGGTTTCACCAGCTATAATCTGAGTAACTTTAGGCTAATTATGTCACCTCTTTGGGCTGAAGAACATCATTTTATGGATGACAAAATGAATAGTACTTCCTACAACTGTGAGAGTTAAATGAATTAATATGTGGAAAGCCTAAGAAATCTGTCCAGTATACAGTAAGAGCTCAATGATACTTGTTTATTATCAGGACTGCATTTCTGTGCTGTAAGATATTGAAGACTAATGTTGGGATTAACCACCAGAAATTACTTAGGCAGGGAAATTGTAGAACTCCTAAGACAGATGTACAATTTTGTTCTTAAAGACTCACAATATCCCTCAGCAGCCTGTGGGTTTTACTTTGACCATCAAGTTGTTCCTCTGTGTCTCATTGGTATCCTCTTGTTCATTTTCCATGTTACTTCTTCATGGACTTAGATGCTGCAAATATTTACCGAGTACCCATTATGTCACAGGTATCATTGGTATTTGCTAGAGATAAACAGTGTTCAAGGTCCATGCTTTTGTGGTGTTTATGACCTAGTGGGGCAGGAGAGACCTTAAGTGCATAAACAGGAAGAACCTCAGAGTATTATTTGCTATGAAGGAAACAAAGTAGAGTGATATGCTATAAACCGAGGGAGTTACCTTGGGTAAAACCCTTTGAGAAAGTGGTATTTGACAGAGACTTAAATGACTGGTAAGAGTTTGAGGAAGAGCATTCATGGTCTGCCCTGCTAAGAGCTATCATTAAATCAACCACTGTTCTCTTTCTTAAGTAACCTCATTGTCTTTCTTCTCCTGATAGATGCTCTTTTCTATTTGTTTCTTTTGGATGAAACTTTTCTAGTTTCTCTCTATACTTCTTGAAGTGGTGACCAAAATTGGTTTCTACTTTCTGTTAGGGGTCTCACTGATCCATTCTATAAAGGAAGTATGAACCTCCAGCCTTGTGGTGTTAATGTCTCTTCCCAACACATCCTGTCATTAACACTGCCAGCCTGACTCATGCATGTTGTGGTTAGTAGAGACTCCCAGGGTTCCTTCCTCTATATTTGTGCCTTTCTTTTCACTTCCTGTATTTATATTACTGTTTTATGTCCTTAGTTGTGCCACATTGAAAAATACCTGTTAAATATTTAACTTTTTAAAAAAATGGGAGTATTTCTTCATTGAATCATTGATATTTCATATTTTTTTTACCTGATACCAGTAGTGTTAATAATTTCCCTCTTTTAGAGTTGTCAGCCCTCTGATGAACTTACTCTCTGTCTCTTCATCCTGCACAGTAGCAATAATAGACAGATTCTCCTTTTCTATATAGTTGTAAATCCATTTAAATTAGCCTGGTGAAGCCTTTCTCTTAATTTGCTTTCCTAGTGGTTAAGATTACATTCTGGCCAGCGCCGCGGCTCACTAGGCTAATCCTCCGCCTTGCGGCGCCAGCACACCGGGTTCTAGTCCCGGTCGGGGTGCCGGGTTCTGTCCCGGTTGCCCCTCTTCCAGGCCAGCTCTCTGCTGTGGCCCGGGAGTGCAGTGGAGGATGGCCCAAGTAGTTGAGCCCTGCACCCCATGGGAGACCAGGCTAAGTACCTGGCTCCTGCCATTGGATCAGCGCGGTGTGCCTGCCACAGCGCACCAGCCGCGGCGGCCGTTGGAGGGTGAACCAACGGCAAAAGGAAGACCTTTCTCTCTGTCTCTCTCTCTCACTGTCCACTCTGCCTGTCAAAAAAAGATAAATAAATAAAAAATTACATTCTGTGGAGTCAGCAAACTGGGTTCCTTGCAATTACTCGTTCTTGATTTTAAGCAACTTAATTTCTCTTTGTATTAGTTTCCCCATCTGTGAGAAGAATAGATAGTGGAGTGCACACTCGTCACTCTTTTCTAAGGTTGTTGTGTTGGGACAAAGGGAGAACACAGTAATCTTGTAGCTACTATTATTGATTTATATGAAAATAAGCAAGCAAAATCTTAAACATCTCAGGTCATGCTATGTGTAACCCTACCAATCAATTCAGTTTCAAGCTTATCTTTTTTTTTTTTTTTTTAAGATTTATTTATTTACTTGAGAGGCAGAGTTACAGAGAGAAACAGAGAGGTCTTCCATCCATTGATTTACTCCCAAAACGGCCACAATGGCTGGAGCTGGGCCAATCTGAAACCAGGAGCCAGGAGCTTCTTCTGGGTCTCCAATACAGGTTCAGGGGCCCAAGGACTTGGGCCATCTTCTACTGCTTTCCCAGGCCCTAGCAGAGAGCTGGATGGGAAGAGGAACAGCTAAGACTCAAACCTGTGCCCATATGGGATACTGGCACTCCAGGCTGCAGCTAGAACTTGACACATGGGATGCCGGTCCCACAAGCGGATGCTTAACCTACTGTGCTACAGCAGCAGCCCCAAGTTTATCTTTGCTTTAATGACTAAATTAGAAACTTGTTCACAAATAAGCTGTCTTAATGGAAAATTTTTTAATTTGGCATTTTAAGACCTGTGTTTCAGTTCCAGCTCTGCCACTTTCTAACACCTTGGCAAAATAGTTTTATTAAGTTGTTTTGATTATTTACATCACTCACATTTCACAGTGGATTCCAGGTGAATTAACACCTGAAGTTATATAATAGCAAAAGTTAAAACATGTAGTTAAAGATTTCAGAGAGTCATCAAATAATGCTGGAATTACTGTACATCCACCTGCCAAGAAGTTAATTTGGATCCCTTACTTTGACCCTATACAAAAATTAGACTTACTAAGAACTTAAAGTCCTAGAAGAAAATTACAGGAGTAACTTTTCATGGCCTGGGATTAGGCAAAGGCTTCTTGATATGACAGCAAAAGTGCAGTGAAGAGAGGAAAAATGATAAATTGGTCTTCATCAAAAGTGAAATCTTTGTACTATAAATAATACCATTAAGAAAGTGAACAGGCAGGGACCAGTGCTGTGCTGTAGTGGGTAAAGCTGTCGCCTGCAGTGCTGACATACCATGTTGGTGCCAATTCGAGTCCCGGCTGCTCTACTTCCAGACCAGCTTTCTGCTATGGACTGGGAGAACAGTAGAAGGTAGCCTAAGTCCTTGGGCCGCTTCACCCACATGGGAGACCAGGAAGAAGCTCCTGGCTCCTGGCTTTGGATTGGCCCAGCTCTGGCCGTTGCGGCCATCTAGGGAGTGAGCCAGCAGATGGAAGACCTCTTTCTCTCTGCCTCTGCCTCTTTGTAGCTCTGCCTATCAAATAAATAAATAAATCTTTAAAAAAAATAAAAATAAAAATAAAATGTGAACAAGGAACACACCAAATAAGAGAAGATATTAGCAAATCACATTACTGATGAAGGACTTGTACACAGCATATATAACAAGCTCTTACAATTCAATAAAAAGAGAAATCACCCAGACTTAATGATCTGAACAGACAAAAGCAGATGTAAGAATACCCAATAGGGACTGGCACTGTGGTGCATTAGGTTAAAGCCCTGGCCTGCAGCGCTGGCATCCCATATGGGTGCTGGTTTGAGTCCTGGCTGCTCAGCTTCTGATCTGGCTCCCTGCTAATGCACCAAGAAAGCAGTGCAAGATGGCCTGAATCCTTGGACTGCTGCACCCTTGTGGGAGACTTGGAAGAAGCTCCTGGCTCCTGGCTTCTGATTAGCCCATCTCCGGCTATTGTGGCCATTTGGGGAGTGAACTAATGGATGGAAGACCTCTCTCTGTCTGTCTCTACCTCACTTTGTAACCCTGTCTTTCAAATACATAAAATAAATCCTTAAAAAAATAGCCAATAAACACATGAAAGATGTTCAACATTATGAGCCATTAGGGAAATCCTATTCAAAGTGTCTAAGAGGTTTGTATACACTAGAATTGTTATAATAAAAAATATAGACATTTGAGGTGAGTGG